ATTTTTGTATATCTTTCTCTAAATACTTGGTCACCTGTGTTAAGGTAAGGGACTTTCTGCTTTTAAAACAAACTCTGAGAATTTAAGAACATTCAGCTCTCCTTGTCCTTGGCTGACTTCACTGGAGAGAGTGATTTATGCTTCACCCAGGCACAAAAATAAGTAAAACTAATTTTTATTGTTGTACTTTGCAATTTTTATTTGCACAACATAAAAATGTAACAATTAAAAATAGTATGTAGAATAAGACTTTCATGACCATTTAAGTGTGGTTAAGGCATACCTCTCCTAGTTAGAGATTTTGCTCTTGCCTTTGAAGATAACATGCTTAAGCCTTTAATTTTTAGTGAGTTTTACCTGGAAACTGTGCGTGAATACCTATTTGTAGATATCTCTGTAGGCATTTAGATGACTTTCAGTCTAGAAGTGTGCTGTGAATGCAGTTTTGTGAAATAAACAGGATGCTTTGTGTTTTTTGTCTGTTCACAGATGGAGAAAATGGAGACATTGCAGAATCAGAGTAAGCAAAGGTTTAAGTATGAAGGTTTTATATTAAATTCAGTGATGAATATTCTGGTTGGAATCTTACTGTCTTCAGTGTTGAGTATTTTGAGCTGAAGATAAAGTTATAGCTCAGTGTTTTGCTGCAAGGAGACCATAACACTTCATTAAAACCTTAATGGGTATATGAATGAAAACCATGATTGAAGCCATACTTCAGTTTTGTTGCTGTCAACTTAATTTGTTTATATGAACAAGTTAATTAGGCACTGAGTCTATGATTGAACAAACTGCTTAAACATGTGCTTAATGCTTAACAGATGAACCTAGTGATGAAAATTGGACCTAAGCTGTTCAGTTGCATTAGGGCTGAAATTATTCCTCATCTGTATATCTTAGCCCAGTGACTTACAAATGCTGCTTTTACCTAAAAATCTTTTCTATGTCAGGAAATTTTTAGATCTACTTGATTCTGCCTTGGAGAAGGTTGTGGCTGAGATGATCTCTCAAACCCTTTACCAGTCTTGTCTTCTAAGATTTAAATAATAGGAAAACATAAGTGACGAAAAGTCAGTGTTCAAAAATTATTGGTATAACTGGAAAGATATCCTTGAAGATTTGCTACTATGTGATTATATTTAAATTATAGCATACCTATAGGCTTATAATAAGCATTCAGTTTCAAAGTGATTACAGTTGTGTTTATAAATGCTTCTGTGCTGTGCTTTCCTCTGTTGTGAAGTGCCACAGAGTTTGAGGGACCACAGAGACTTTTCTGTGATTTCACAATTTTCTCTTCATGTTGTTTTATGCATGTCCTTTACAATGTGACCTGCTACTTTTCTGTTTTGTCAATATCTATATGGTGCTTCCCTAGTGCAGGTGCTTTTCAGCATAGACTGAGGAGATGGCAGAAAAATTTGCAATAGATTAGTTCATCCTAATGACAATTCCCTCTCAGAGGTCTTTTCCGGCTGCCTTATTGTACTTGGTCAGCATTCACTTAATGTCATGGCTTATTTAGAGAATGTGAAGGCAGCTGACCTTATTACAAACTTCAGTTTTTTGAAGAGTGGAGAAAGATAAAAAAAGTTTTCTTTGTGTCAGAGCTTAAGTCATGGCTTGGCTTTATTCTTTCTTCCTGAGAGACCATATAGAGCTTGTACTTTGTTCCTTGTAACCAGTAAAGTCACAAAATTAATAGTCATGTGCAGTCCTCTTTCATCTGTTACTTACTACAATATAATTTGGTTTTATTTATGTATTTTTTTTAAACAGGTGTAATATACAGTGGATTTCTCACTGACTTTAGATTGATATCAGTCATAGCTATGGGTCTGTAAAAACACACTTTGATTGCATTAACTTTTTAAAAAGTAGTGGGAGGTGATATAGTATGAGGCATTGGACAGCAGGTATTCCTCAGGGACCTAGGATCAGCTGTGGACAGTGGATCTCATCAATCAGACTTCATGCAGGAGCACCCTGCCCATCTTCAAATAGCAGCACCCCAATCCCAGCTACTGGAAACTTGCCTGCCAGCCTGCACTTGGAGGAGGGATAGCTCCTCAGAGCAGCACCATTGACAGTCCTATTCACTCCCCTGCCCTAAATTCCAAGAAATGTGTGGTTACAAATGAGAATGACCTGTTATTACAAGTCCCAAATCCCCAGAACTGCCAGTCCCACAGTTTTTAAAGCCAAAACAGCAAGAATTTTCAAACACTTTCAAAACTTCAAAACTTTCAAACTTTTCAAAACTTCATGCTGAGATGAAGATAATAATAATTTTTAGTGTCATCAGTAAAAGCAATTTTTTCCAATAGTACATACGCAGATCATATTGATTTAAGCAGATAGGAGCCAGTCACTTCTTTACCATTCTTTTCCTACAAAGGAAGAGACGCTGCAACAAGATGCCTTGATATTTTCCACAAAATAAACTCATAATTTGATTATGTTCAGGGACTTTGTATTGCACAGCATTTGCTTGGAATCATTGAGTTGTCCTAAGATTCTTTATAAATAACCTTTTGACTCAACAAATCCAGAGAGTATTTTTATGTTCTGTGGCACCAGAATTTTGTCAGTGCTATCAGGAATACTCCCTGGATGCATGAACACACCTTTCCACTGGTGAGTAACTGCTGCTTACTGATGAAAGCAGCAATAGTCATGCTTTTTCAAGGTGTCTAGGCTGGACGTGCTGTAGAGTGCTTTGTCTTGACCATAGATTTGCAATGCACTTCTTGAAATCACTGTTTATGCAGTAGAAATTAATGATGCATAACTGCCACAAAATTTGGAGTCTGGTTCTCTGTGAGTAAGTGCTTTTGCATCAGATGAAAATGTACTTGACTGTCTGCTTTTGAGTCTTAGAAGTCAAAATGGAACATTTAAGTTTACAATACTTCTTGACTCTGGTCATGCTGGAGATGGGGATACTCCTTTGGAGAAATTTTTAATCTTATTTTCAAAATTTAATGTACATAGACATGAGAATTTAATGTATAGGAAATAATTAAATGGTTTAAAATGAAATAAATTAAATAAATGAAAATATCCAAGTGAAAGTGGAGAAAAGGAGAGAGACTTCCCATTTTATTACAAGTGTGTTGCTTCTCTCAAGTTCCTGTTTTTCTTCACTATTTCCATTTGAAAATTTAGGAAGTCTGTCCCTCTTCAGCAAGGCTTGCAAACTTGAACCAGTATCATTCCAGAGCTAGTTGAAAGTTAACTGCATGTTGAGTGCTCTGCTGAGTCAGACTGGTGGTAATACATATACATATTCATTGCGTGACCTCTGGGATCACTCATCTGGTGCTCAAAGTG